GCTTAAAGAGTGCCGTTTTTTAAGTTTACTTTTCTGACTTTGTGCTTGGGCCTTCAGTACTTTAACAGCAGTTTTCTGCTCCTCATTAATGATACCCTGCTTGATCCTGTCACAGACACACTTAGCACACATGAAGCCACCATAAGCTCTGACATGTTTTTTTAAAAAATTTTATAACCTCCTGAGAACTTTACACTGGGAAAATAAACAGGGACCTCTCAAAATTGTTGAGGAATAATTATGTCAATTTAAAAACTAAGGTGCATCTGATTCAGGCCATAGTCTTTCCAATTACTTGTAATGTATCTGAGAGCTGGATAATGAATAAAGATGACAAGGGGGGAAAAATTGACGCCTTTGAGCTGTGGTGTTTGAAAAGAGAACTGAACATCCTATGGACGGCCAAGAAAACAGATAAGTCTTTGAGATGGTGTATACAGACTGCTGTTTGGAGACAAGAATGCCTCACATACTTTGGGCATGTTGTTGGTCAACGAAGGAGAGGAAGACCCTCAATCAGGTGGATTGACATGGTGACTGCTGCAGTGGGCTCTAGTGTATCGAGAAGTGTGAGGATGGCTCAGGGTAGAACAGGGTTCAGGTCTTTCGTTCATAGCATCTCTGTGAGTCATACTAGACTCAACGGCACCTAACAGCAACAGTAACAAGAACTTGGTCTTAGAGCACAGACCTCTCAGAGTTGGTCTGAGCACATACCACATGCAGATTGTGTTGCTTTCTGAACCTTCTTGGTATAAAGCTAAACAGTTCTATTACCAGGGCCTCAAGACAGATTAGTTTTGTTACACACTGTGCTGTGGGACAGCCTGCGGTGGTAGGTCAGATGCTAGGTCTGACTGCCTCTACACAGCATCTTCAGAAAAGAAGTCAGAAGTACTTTTAAAAGATACATAACTATAACTCAGAAGTGATCAGGTTTTGGAACAATGCTATTTTGGCATGACCTCATTAACATAACTAAACCCCTAATCTTTCTACATCTGATCACGTCCATAGTTATACAGGGCAAGACTTTAGTACATATTTTTGGAAGAAATAATTTTATTCATGACAAGCATACAGTTATAAAATCTAGGTCTTATTTATTGATTTAGTCTGTTTTTCTCATTGGTGTAAGCAAGTTTCATCTCTTTTCCCCAGAAGAGCCTATCAGTTCTTTAAAAACAGTGATCATACGCGGCTGTTGATGCACCTTCAGTTAAACTCTGCTTCTTTCGCCAGTAGTGCCTATTCACTTAATAACAATAATAGTTATACATTGTTGCTGTTGTTGCATGCCATCAAATTGGAACTAACTCACAGTTGACCCTCCAGAAGGTTTTCAGAGGCTAAAAATTACATAGAATATTTCTCATATTTTTCCACCAAAAATCTGGTGGATTTGAACCATGTGCCTTGGGGTTTGCAATGCAGCTTCTTACCCCTCAGCCACCAGAGCTCCAATAGTCATATAAGAACCTATGGTATGTTAAATATTACACAAAGTGCTTGGTATACATGATCTAATTTGATCCTCACAATAATTCTTTGAGGTGAGTGCTATTAACCTCTGGTTAATAGAGGAGGAAACTGAGGGTTAGAGGGGATGAGGAGTGTGTGCAGAGAGGTAAGGGTAGTGTTTTTACTAGATCAGACCCTGTACGCATGTTCTTACCCATTCCAGTGGGTTGCACCTGCTCCCTCTCCTTACCCCTGAATGTCCTGAGAAGACCCTTACCTTTCCCTAAGCCTGCTCTTGTCTCTGTGGATACAGGAAGGATCACCAGAGTTGTCCTCCAGTGCAGTATAGGGCACTGCAGGCCCTGGTGCAAGCCATGCTGAGCCGCTGTGTGGATGTGTCCCAGGCACCACTGAACAGGAGAGCCTTGGTAAGTGCCTGCCATCACCTTCTCCCAGAGGTCACACTAGAATATGTCTTTAGAGGGGTTACTAGTGCATTACTCGACATTGGTATGTATGTTGTTTTATGTTATATTCTCATGTATACACACACATACAACGTTATTTTTCCAAATGAAGATATGTGACATTTAAAGCTTACATAGGGGTCCAAAACTGTCAAGTACCTAAACCTCCGTAGAAAAATCCCAAGGTATTTGATTCTAAACCTACACCCTTTGTCTGTTAACATCATCCAAGCAGGTATGATAAACATGCTCACAAAGTGAGACTGGATTCACTAGAATCGTAGAACGTGTCTGACCAATGTCCAGTGTATTGTAATTGGCTGGGTTTTAATGGATTTAACATATCAGAAAAGATACTATCAGTATGAATACAGATGTATCTTTAAGGACTAACTCTGAAAATTAAGTTCTTTAGCTCATTTTAATGCAATAGGCAGTTTCTTATGTTTTGGAGCATCTAATAAGACATTAACAACCAGAAAGACTAATGTCGTTAGTCCATAGAATAGAGCCAGGTCTGTGGTTCATTGGAGATGGATTAAGATTTCCCTCTCTACTGTTTTACTAAGGAGTTATTAAATGTTAGAATCTAACCAATATCTCTGGAAAGTGTTAGGGGTAGGGGAAGCAGCGTGAAGTCATCAAAACCAGATCAGAAACCGGAGGTCCTGATCAGCACGTTCCTTTCTTTCCTTCTCCCTTCAGGGCCATGACCACGGCAGAGACTCAGGCAAGGCCATTCTGCGCAGGGGCAAGTTCCTCCTGAGCACTCTGAAGGGATTCCGGAACGCCTGCAGGTGGAGAGCCTAGGGCGGTGTGAGACAGTCACCTAGAGGGTAGGGGTGAAGGGGAGCTCACCAGGATGAGGTTCTAGAAGCAGCACTTGATTTCGGATCCTCTATCTACGTATTAAGGAGCTCTGGTGATATAGTGCCTTATGTGTTAGATTGTGAACCAACAGGTTGATGGTTCAGATCCATCAGGTGCTTCCTGGTGTTGCCTCTTTTACACCAGCTTCTTGGTGTCCCCTCTTGGAACCCAGCTGCTGTCCCTCTTTGTAGACACTGCAGCGTCAGAAACCTCATGGAGGATCACCATGGTTGAGACTCAGCTCAGTAGCACAGAGTTGGGTTTGGTTTGCACAGTGAGAAAACTGGAGTGATTGTGAGGGTGGGCGAATTGTGAGGAGCAGTAAGGGGAGGACATTGTTGTTAAGAGTCTCTACTGGTCAAGACCTTGCTGAGGGCAGTAATGGTTCAATGATAGAATTCTTGTTTTCCATGTGGGAGACTAGGGCTGGATTTCAGCCAGTGCAGCCACTACCCGTCAGCAGAGGCTTACATGTTGCCGTGATAGTGAAGAGATTTCAGCAGAGCTTTCAGACTAATACTAGGAAGAAAGTCCAGGCAAGCTATTTTAGAAAATCATGCGATGAAAACTCTATGAATCACAGTGATTCTCATTGTACAGGAGTTGCCTTGAATCAGGGATTGAGTCAGTGCCTGATAACAGCAACAAAGTCCTTGCTCCTATACAATGAGCTTGTGTTTCATTCAGCTCTGTTCGCCCTTGAGCCCTGAGTAAATGGTGAGTGTTCCTTGGATATTTGCTGAGTTAATTCAGCTCAAATTAACAAATATTTGTTACAACCTGATACACAACCTGATGCTAGATAACAGAGGTAGGAAAAACAGTAAGAATGGCTCCTGAACAGAGGAAGCTCACAGTCTCTTTGGGAAGAAATAATTTTGTGTATTTGAGTACAACTCATTTGTCAAGAGTCTGGAAGAAGCTGCATGTGCAAAGGCCGTGATGTGAAATAGCCTGCAGCTCATGTGCTCAGAGAAGTACGAGAAGTTGGGTTCAAGAGTCATGATGTGGAGATGGTAAAGTGTCTTCTCATTGAGGCCTTGACATTCCTCCAGATCTGAAGAGACTGTCCTCCCACGGGCCACTCCTGGGCGGATGCCTCTGTGCTCCAGAATTGTAATGGCACACTGGTGTGGCGCTTCCTTAGGTTGGCTGTGGAATTCCAGAGTGAGCCTTCAGCCCAGGAGAATCCCTTCACAGCCCCTAGTGCTGAGAAAGAAGACACTTTGGAAGCCTTCTCAGAATTTCTCCTCAGTGCCTGTGACTCCTTGTGTGTCCCCATGGTGATGGTAAGTTCCCATGCACTGTGGCCAGTACGAGCTTGGGGAGGAGAACAAAGACTGAAGGCGAGGCTGGCTCAGAGCCACAGGCTAATAACTGCACCTGGACCTTCTAAGAGCTGTAAGGGGTCATTCTTTAGCGACCTTGCCTTTGATTTTTTAAAGTCAGGTGAATTTTTTCATTAAGCAATGCATATATACCTCTTAGGGGAAGCAGGAATGATCAGATAATAAATTTGTAGTGTCTGTGGAGTGCGAAGGCTTCGTAGTCATTACTTGTTGTCATCTTCTCAGTGACCCTGTGAAATAGAGACGAGTTTTGTCAGGTTTCTAGCTGAAGAGCTCTGGTGACCTTGTCTGTAGGGAGGTGAGCGGCTAACCCAAAGGTAGTGCCTCTCTGGCTGTGTGAACCCACCAGCAGTTCTAGGGGTGAACGACGGGCAGTCTCATCCTGTGTGATTTACAGCTTCGAGAAACCCTCTGCAGGGTCAGCTGTGACTTGGTTCTGACTTGGCAGGAATGAGTTTTGAGTGAGAACTATTGACTTCCGAGGTGACCTTGGGTGGGTCATCTTGGACGAGCCTTCCATTTGGGGTTGAATGTCCCTGGAGAACAGTGCCCCCTAAACATTTTCTGGGAACAGTAGGTGGCAGCAGGGCTCTAGCTCTGGCTCTGGTGGGAATTCACAGCATCTCCTTGAGAAGCCACTGAGCCCACAGTCAGTTCTGTAGGCTGTGCGAGTGGAGGGGAGCAGCTGGGACTGTAACCCTCATACGCACACACTGTCCATGTACAACTTTGACATCTCACGCTGGTCACCTCCTTTGTGCTGCCTGCCTCTCAGCTTCATTGTGTTAAGATCTTGATGGGCTCATAGAATCATTGTATCACTCCTGCTTTCTAAATTGCTGGATTTGATAATTTTTCTTTAAAGAACATACATTCTACCATTAAAAACAAAACTAACAGAAACAAAACCTGACTTGATTTGAAAACCAAGGCAAAAAAAAATCTATAAAAAGAATGTCTCTGAGGCTTCGACTTTTTACGCATGGGAGGAATGAGACCGGGAGAAGGGAGTTGCTGACCCAGGGCACATAGGCCACTGAGCAGAGCTTGCAAGAGAATCTCTTTACCTCCTCTTAATCCAGTGCTCTGTCTGTCACACCAGGCTACCTTGTGGCTGTGTTCAAGGATCAATAAATGTGAAGGCAGTTTGTGGGCTAGATACTTTTAGTGTTATTGTAGTTATAAAACAATAGAAAGTATTTTTCCATATTAAGTTCCAATTTGTTTCTCAGAGTTATTCTTTGTAACCTGTTTTTGCTCTTTGGAAACAGAGACCTAGACAGGTAAATGAGTTTACACAATCTTCAAGTGGCAGATTAGATCTAGATTTGTGACTTTAGATTCCCTAGCCTTTCAAAGGAGGGATTTATTCTATTGTTGCTAGATTAGATGCTAGTTTTTCTTCCTTATTAAAGACAGTTTTGGTGGGCTGGGTTCTCACTTTTCGTTCTTTGTAGAGACACTCAGAACAGGCCACCCACCCAGCCCTGATGGAAGTTTTCCTCTCAACTCTGCACGACCTCTTTGTCATTGTGCCTCACATGAGGGAGAAGTTCTCCAAGAAGCTTGGTAGGCCAGAGCAAGCGGGGGTGTTGGGTCAGGAGGGAGGCACCTTGGCCCAGGTCAGAGAGCGCTTGCTGTGACCTGTGGGACGGGATATTTGCATACTTGTTTGCAATTTAGATCCACTGTACACAGGGTTAAGTAAAAGAAGTATCATCCAGTGATTGATCATAAGTCATTAAAAGCAAACACTGTATAAATCCATTATTGTAGAATGACGGTGAGGATCCAAGGCGGGGGTGGGGGTGGGTGGAAGCAGAGGGATGAGGGTTGGTGGGGGGTGTTAATCATAGGGTTGCACAGTTTACTGGCTGGAGAGGATGAAGGAAATGCGAAGGACCTTGTCTGAAAAACAATGTATTCGAACTTTGTAAGTAAATCAGTATATAAAAAGAAAAGTCATTAAAGGCAGTTCTCAAGTGTGTTAATATGTCTCTGAGAATGCCAAAGAAGTTCCAGTTCAGAATCCACAACACATCCTTTCTGAGCAAAATACTTGTTAGATTTTTTAATTTTGCTCCTCTTACTTTTTTTTTCACAGTAAACTCTGAGGTAGTTGAGGGAGCTCTGGAGGCCTAGTGGGTAAAGAGTTGCATTGTTAACCCCAAAGAAGGTGGTTTGAGTCCACTAGCTGCTCTGTGGGAGAAGGATGGCCATTCTCCTCTTAGGTGATTTACAGCCTCTGAAGACCCACGGGAGGATCCGCCATGAGTCGATTGTAGCTCAGTAGCACACACAGCAACAACAGCAATATGAGGCAGTTGGTGCTCTGGTGGTGTAGTCATAGGGAGCTGCTCCGCTCACCCAGCGGCGGCACCTCTCAGGGTTGGAATCCATGAGCCACTCCACAACAGGAGGGTGGCAGCCGCCTCCCACGGGGCCCACAGTCTCCAAAAAGCCCTGGATCAGCTGTGAGTTAGTTCCGCTCGATGGCAGTGGGGTCTTTGTTATGAGGTGGTTATTGCTACATAAGTTCTATTGTAATTGTGGACGATCAAGTCAGAGCTGACCCGTAGCTGACCCTTTAGTGGGCTTTCAGAGGCAGTTGACCACAGCGAGGCGATTGTCCATCCCTCTCCTGAGGAGCAGCTGGTGCATTCGAACCGGGTGCCTTCAGGGTTGCAGCGCAGCTTCTCACTGCTAGGTCACCAGAATTCCCATTCTACATGGGTGAAAAACTGGTCTCAGAGCAAGAGTCTCACAAGTAAATGTAGTGCAACAAAATTTTGATTCGGTAGGATTCAGAAAACAGTACTCTTTAATACCTCCAAACTTGAGAATCCTGTAACAGATCTCACATACAGCTACAACTTGGCCTTCTGTCCACTTTCCCCCAGCTGCCTCATCCTTCATACGGCTGACCCTGGAGCTGAAGGCCCGGTTCTGCAGTGACCTAAGGTGTGTGAGCCCCATGGCAAAAGAATGGCCATAGACCAGTGTCCTTCTTGACTGGACAAATGGAATGTTTGGCTAGTGTATTTACTATACTTTCATGCAGATAATGCATGCATGTTGTCTGTCTTTTCCAAGCAAGCTCTCTCCCACCCTGAGTATTCTATAATATTTTTCTTTGTTGTTATAGGATAATTATTATACCATATTTAAGAAAATCCCTGGCAAGCATCTGAAAGGGCACAGTTAGCAAAGATGAGTTGTGCTATTTATCTAATAGTACAGTAGTTGTAGGACTATGAGGAAATTGGCGTAGCAATTGGAGCTGTGAGTTGGACGCACATCTATAGGTTGCTTTTCCTCTGTTTCAGATAATGTTATTGTTGCATGTAATACTCGAATAGGCACTCTGTCACATCAAAACTGGAAGCAACATTAGGGTTCACTTCTCTAATCTCTCATTTTATAAGTGAGGAAGTGGAGTCCCTAGGAGGGACGGGAGCAGGTGCCAGACTGTGTGGTTGGCAGGTGCTGACCATTCCATAGATGCTGACCATTCAGGTGCCCTTTCCATGTCCCAGGCTGTCTTCCAGTTGTCTTCTGTATCAGCGCCCACGATGCTGTGTCCATCAGGAGAGAGTTGGTCATGTTCTAGCTACTGCCAATCCAGCAGTTCCTGAGTAGACACTGCTGTGCACAGTGGAGAGGTTGCTGCCTCAGTGTCTGTCGTGTTAGGCTTCTGGAGCAGCTGGTGGAATGTCCCATTTCTGCTCTGCCCGTCTCCGCATTTGTCCTCACCCACAGTCCATGGTTGAATACAGAGAGGTATCCAGTTCTCCTCCCAAAGCTCTGAATAGAACACCCAGCGTTCAGGAGAGAACACAGGGAGCCATCCAAATTAGGGTTAAAAATCAAAAGTTTGCTTGTTTATAATATTCCTGTCTTGGGTCCAATGGCTCTTTTTCTTGCCCTCCTCCACCCTTTTCCAGGGCAAGAAATACTTTTTTATGTCTGCTTTGTTATATTGGAGACATATCCCTTCTTTATTGGTCTTTTCAGCAAATTTTTTAGTGAGGACCAAATGTCTAACTTGCACCTTTGAGGTGCAAGTTCTGTATTTGTTTTCCACAGCCATCTCAAGACCTCATTTACCATAGCAAAGGAACTGTCTATGATGCTTGCATTTTGCTGGGCTCTGGCACTTAATGGTGGTCTGAGTCAAAGTAGAAATCACTGCCTTCTCTCTTGTTTTCTCTTCCTCTTATCCCTGTAAGTCACTCAACCCTAAACCAGGTGTGTTCCAGTTTCCTCTACTACATGTGCCTCAACCTCCTCTCTGCTCCAGAGAAGGCAAGACCACCTTCTGGAGAAGGTAAGATTCTGCAGTTTGCTCCCCCCACACATGATTTCCACAGTGGTCAGAAACTGCAAGCTTGGCCTTCTTTTTTTAAGGTATAAAGATAGATTTATTAAAAAGCTACATCCCAAAAGACAGGATGGAAAGGGAAGGAGTTGGAAAGGAAAAAATGGAAGAGGCCAAGCTCGGCCTTTGAAGCAGTCTGGATGCCTTGTAGTACGTCAACACAGTAATGTTACAGATGAGAGTCTTTCAGCAATATGTGCTATAAATCCTTACCTTTACAGTTAAAATCCGATCCAGAAATATGTTTTCCTTTGTTATGTTAACGAGCCAGAATTTGTGCAGGATGTACTTTGAGTCACTCTCTTTTGAAATGTAAAAGAGATTAGGGCAAGATAACAAGCAGAGGTGGCGGAAGAGAGGTGCCAAGCCATATGAAGATCAACCCAGAGCAGAAGCTCAGAAGCGTCAAGCTTCCTGCAGAACCGAAAGAGAAAACCTTCCCCTAGAGCCAGTACCCTGAACTAGGGTTTCCAGCCTCCTAAACTGTGAGAAAATCGGTTTCCATTCCTAAAGCCATCCACTTGTATTTCTGTTCCAGAAGCACCAGATAACTAGGACAAGTAATAAGATCCTTTTGCTTAGAGCTCCGAGAGGAACTCTGGAACCATGGAATGGTAAAAATACAGGCTAATACCTACGATGGTAAAATAATAGGATAAAACCCATTATGGAATTCAACCAAGGCTCCTGGCACTTTAGACTATCAAGACTTGGAAAGATTCTGTCTTTCCTTGTACCCAGACATAGCCCTGCATCACCCTGTCGTCAGACCTTCTGCCCTCTGCTTGTTCACTTTAAGCACATGGGCTTACTCTTTGTTCATTCATTGAAGAAATTGTTCTTTAGCATCTGTTGTATGTCAGACCCTGTTCCAGGCCCTGGTGATACGGTAGGAATCCACTGTCATGGAGGGAGAAAGGCAATTCTGGTGGTGATGGTGGTTGATGTAGAGTCAGTTCCAGTTCATAGCAACCCAGTGTGTGACAGCAGGAAACACGCGCAACTGTGCTCCATCCTCACAACTGCTGCTGTGCTCGAGCCCATTGTTCCTGTAGTAACCTCCGCGTTAGCGCAGCTCATTGAGAATCTTCCTTTTTCCTCACTGATCCTTCACTTTATCAAATATGTCATCTTTCTTGATAACACCTCCAGTGTATGTGGGGCACAGTGTAGCCATTTTCACCTGTAAGGCGCACTCTGCCTGCTTCTTTCAAGATAGATTTGTTATTCTTCTGACAGTCCATAATACACTCATTATTTTTCACCAGTACTATAGTTCAAAGCTATCAATTCTTCTTTGGTCTTCTTATTCATTATCTAGCATTTACATGCGTATCTGGCCGTTGAAAAATATCATGGATTGGTCAGGTGCGTGCTGGTTCTCAGAGTAACGTCTTTTGAGCACTTTAAAGAGATCTTTTGTAGCAGGTCTATCCAATGCAGTATCTCATTAGATTACTACAGTGTCCATGGGTATTGATTGTGATCCAAGTAAAATTAAATTCTTGACAATTTCAATCTTTTCTCCATTTATCACAATGTTACTTATTGGTCCCATTTTGAAAGATTTTATTTATGTTGAGGTATAATGTATATGACTATGTTGTTATGTACCATTGAGTAGTAACTGACTCATAACTGACCCTCCAGCAGGTTTTCAGAGGCAATGAAACACCATGGGAGGAGATTACCCATCCTTACTCCATAGAGCAGCTGGTGGATTTGAACCTCTTGCCTTTAGGTTGGCAGCAAAGCTGCTTCTTACCACTAAGCCACCAGAACTCTCTCTATATGGTTGTAGTCTTTTCTTAGTAAGTGCTTCGAGTCCTCTTGACTTTTGTCAAGCTAAGTTGTGTCAGCACATACTGCAGGTTGTTAGTAAATTTTCTTCCACTTTTGATGCCATATTTTTTTAATATATAATCCAAGAGTCCAGCCTTTTAGGTTACTTTCTAAACATCCAGGTTGAATAGACATGGTGAAAGGATACAGTTATGACCCACACCTTTCTTGATTTTAAACCATGTACAATCCTCTTGTAAGATTTCAAACAACTGCCTTATGTTCTGTGTGTAAGTTTTGGTGGAGTTTTTTCTGGTTCATGGTGACATGTGGAAAATAAGGGTAAAATAAAATGAAATTTCCCCTAAAGTTGGCCTTATTTGAATTTTGTACTTTTAATATTATCACACCTTTTTTTTTTCTCTGAAAAGAACCCTGTTGCAGAGGTTGAAGTTCTCAGCTGTTAACTAAATGCTTGATGGTTCACATCCATAAGCCATTCTATTATTGTTATGTGCTGTCGAGTTGCCTGTGACCCATAGCGACCCTCTATGTACAGCAGCTCTAAATCCTGCCCTGTCCCAAACCAGTCTCACTGACTCTGCCACAACAACCCCCATTGCTCTAGTTACTGTTATCAATCCATCTCATCTGGGCTTTTTCTTCTCCTGCTCTGTCCCTCTTCCCTTCCAAGCATGATGTCCTTCTCCAAGGACCAGTCTCTCCTCACCACATGCCCAAAGTATATGAGATGGAGCTTGAAAATCCTAGCCTCCAAGGAGAAACTTGGTTTCACCCTTTCCAAAACAGACCTATTTGTTTTCTTGGCGGTCTGTGGCATGCTGAGACTGTTCTCCAGCACCACAACTCAAAGGCATCAATAATTCTTCTGTCATCCTTAGTCATTGTCCAGCTCTCTGATGCATAGCAAGTAATTAAGAAGGCCATGGCCTGGATTAGGCGCACTTTTGTCTCTAGACTGACATCATTGCTTTTCAATATCTGGAGAAGGTCCTTGACTGCAGATTTTCCCAGTGCAATTCATCTTTTGATTTCCTGACTGCTGGTACCGAGAGCGTTGACTGTGAAGCTGAGCAAGCTGTAATTGTTAACAACCTCAGTCTCTTCTCCAAGATGCTGCCAATTGGCCCAGTGGTGAGAATCTTTGTCTTCTTGATGTTGAGCTTCAATCCATATTGAAGACTGCAGTCCTTGACTTTCTGCAGCAAGAGCTTCAGGTCTTCTTAAGTTTCAGCAAGTAAGGTTGTGTCATCTGCATAACATAGGCTGTTGATGAGTCTTCCTCCAATCCTGATGCCACATTCTTTCTCATAAAGCCCTGCTTCCCAAATGGTCTGTTCTGCATACACACTGAAAAGGATGTATCCCTGATGCACTCCTTTACTGATGATGAACATTCAGTGTTTCTCTGCTCTGTTCTGAGGACTGCTTCCTGGTCCAAGTATAGGTTTCCCATAAGCACAATCGAGTGTTCTGGGATTCTCATTCTCCTCAAGATTTGCCACAGTTTGTTGTGATCCACACAATCAAATGCCTTTGCATAGTCAATGAAACACAGCTAGACATTCTTATGATACTCTTTGCTTTCTGCGTCTCTAGTGCCAGGACCTCTTCTAATCCCAGCTTGTATTTCTGGTAGTTCTCTGTCAATTTTCGGGTAATCTTCAGCAGGATTTTACTAGTGGGTGGTATTATTGATATTGCTTAATAATTTCTGCACTCTGTCGGGTCACCATTTTTTGGAATGGGAATAGACATGCGTCTCTTCCAGTCAGTTGGCCAGGAAGTTGTCCTCCAAATTTCTTGGTACAACCTGGTGACCACACCCAGGGCAGCATCTGTTTGTTGAAATGTATTATTTGGTATTTCATCAATTCCTGGGGTTTTATTTTTTGTCAAGTTCTTCAGAGCAGCTTGAATTTCCTTTTTCATCACCATTGCCTCTTGTTCATCTGTTGTTTCTTGAAATTCTTCTGTGTCAGCCAATTCTTTTTGGTACAGTGACTCTGTATACCCTTTCTGTTTTCTTTTAACACATTGCCGCACACTTTTAAATTGATGACCGTGCTTAGAAACACATTTTGCCATCATTTGCGGTAACGTGTTAATTCTTCCTTGATCATTCAGTATTCTGCCCATAGCCTCCTTAAGCATTGCAGCTCACAGCTTGAATTTGTTCTTTAGTTCCTTCAGCTTAAGAAATGCCAAGCAAGTTCGGCCCTTTTGATTTTCCGACTTCCACTCCTTGCACATTTTATTATAATACTTTGCCTTGTCTTCTAGAGCTGCCTTTTGAAGTCTTCTGTTTAGCTCTTTAACTTCTTGATTTCTTTCCTTTGCTTTGGCTTCTTGGCACACTAGTGCAAAATGCAGTCTCTTCTGACACCCATTTTGGTCTTTTCCTCTTCTCTCTTTGTAATGACCTTTTGCATTCTTCATGAATGATATTCTTGATATCTTCCCACAGCTCATCAGGTCTTCATTCATTAGTGTTCAAGGCCTCAAACCTGTTCTTGACTTGGTTTTTAAATTCAGGGAGAAAGACTCAAGATCAAATTTTGATTCCTGTGAATATGATTTTGCCTTATATAGCTTTAATTTGGACTTGCGTATGAGTAGTTGATGGTCTGTTCCACAGTCAGCACCTGGCTTAGTTTTCACTGGTGATAATTGAA